AAAGGTGGAAACCCCTAAGGATTTGAAATCCTTTGATAGAAAAAGTAAAGATTTGGGAGGAAAGAGGAGAAGGAAAATAGATGAAGTAGAGAAACTCATAAACAACGTTGAAGGGGACAAGAAATTTAGCGCTATGGGAGGGAGGAGGGGTGGGTTGTAAAGTGGTAAAGGATGGGTTTAAACTCTAACAATCATTGTGAAGATTATTAGTTGGAATGGGGAGTGCCACAAACTCCAATCATTGTGAAGTTTCCTCAATTTAGCGCTATGTGGGGAATGGGGAGTGCCACAAAAAGAACAATTAGAGCACTCCTAAAAAAAAGGAAAATCCTGATATTTTGTTAATTCAAGAGTCTAAAATTTAGGAAGTTGATAGGAGATGGGTTCGAAGTTTCTAGGGAGAAAAGGGCATTACTTGGAGCTTTGCTCCTTGGGGAAGCTTCAGGAGGGGTAATTACTATATGGATGGAAGAAATTGTTCTTTGTTTTGAAGAGTTGATTGAAAATTTTACAATCTTGTTGAAATTGAGGAACGCTCAAGATTGGTTCGAATGGGTTCTCATGAATTTTTATGGGCCAAACTCTTACAGGGTAAGGAATGTAATGTGGGATGAGCTGGCAGGCATTAGGGGGCTTTGGGAGGGCCCTTGGTGTGTTGGAGGAGTCTTTAACGTGACTAGATTTGTTTCTGAATCAAATAGTGCAAGGCAAAGGGAGACCACCAGCACGAGGAAATTTAATGAGTTTATCGTTTCCTTCCTCTTGGGAGACTTTCCTCTAGGACGAGCTAGGTTCACTTGGTCCAATCACCAACCAAATCATTGGAGATATATTTTGGGAAGATCATTGAAGATCATTGGAGAGAACATTACCTAGAATTACCTCTGACCATTGGCCCATTTGTCTCTTCCAACAGAGCACCTTGTAAGGGCCTGCCCCTTTTAGGTTTGAGAACATGTGACTGACCCACCTAGATTTCAAGGAAAAAGTGAAAGATTGGTGGAATCAGCAGAGGCAGTTGCCTAAGTGGGAAGGGCAAAGATTCTTGAGGAAACTTCAATGTTTGAAGGAGGAAACTAAAGACTGGAATAAAGTGACCTTTGGGAAATAGGAGGAAAAGAAAACCATCTTAATTTCAGAAATTGAGGATTTAGACTGGAAGGAAGCGGAGAGTTCCCTTTTAGGCGAAGAGAGATCTGAGATGCAAGTTGAAGGAGTTAGAGGAAACACTATTAAGGGAGGAAATGAATTGGATGCAGAAATCTAGAGAGAAGTGGATGAAGGAGGGAGATGGTAATACTAGATTTTTTTCATGCTATTGCTAATGGAAAAAGAAGGAAGAGCCTAATTTCTTCTCTAGTGGTGGAAGAAGTAAAAATTACAGACCAATCAAAGATAGCCAAGGCCTTTGTGGATCATTTTAAATCAATTTTTAGGAGGCCCCTAAATACTAGATGGTCAGTGGCTTGTCTGGAATAGGAATTGTTAGAAAGCCTGTAAGTGGAAGCTTTGGAAAAGGCTTTTGAGGAAGAGGAGATTAAGGAGGTAGTGTTTGCAATGGATAGATCTAAGGTTCCAGGTCCTGACAGATTTATGATGGCTTTTTTTCAAGATGGTTGGGACATAATTAAGTTGGATTTGGTTAAAGTGTTTAGGGAGTTTTGCAGAAGAGGTGTTATTAGGTGGGGAATGAAGTCAACTTTCTTAGCCCTGGTTCCAAAGAAGTTTGATGCCTGTAACCCGAAAGATTTTAGACCAACAAGTCTTGTCATAAGTATTTATAAATTAATTGCTAAGGTGTTATCTTTGGGGATCAAAAAGGTGTTCCATTTCCTCATCTCTCAGTCTCAAGGTGGCTTGATTCAGGATAGACAGATTATTGACTAGATTCTAATTGCGAATGAGTGTTGAAACCCAAAAAAGATCAAGGAGAAAGGGTGTGGCAATCAAATTGGCCTTGAGAAAGCTTATGACCTAGTGAGTTGGGAGTTTTTAATCAACATTTTGAGGAGTTGTGCTTCGGGGATCAGTGGTGTAGGTGGATTAGGGGTTGGCTGCATACTAATCAATTTTCAATAATTGTTAATTGGTGGGGGGAGTGGGTGGTTGATTTTTTTGAAGGGATAAAAGGATTAAGTCAAGGTGGTCCACTATCACCCTTTCTTTTTAATGTGGTGGTTGAGGTTCTTATTTAATTGATTTCAAGATCTCTAACTCCTTGCAGTTGTTTAGAGGTTGGTCAATAGAGAGAGATAGAGGAATTGTTACTCATTTGCAATTTGCAAATGATATCTTAATCTTTTATGATGGGGAGAATAGAACGGGAGTTGAAAATTTCAAATTGGTGGCTACTCTGTTTGAAAATATGCCTAATTTGAAAGTTAATTGGACTAAAAGTTTGGTGGCAGGTGTCAACTTAGAAGAAGATGAGCTTGGGGTAATGGCATAGAGATCCTGGGGTGTGAGAGTGGGGAGTGGCAAATTAAATACCTAGGGCTACCGTTAGGTGACAACCCTAGGTTGGTTAGCTTCTGCAATCCAGTTGTGGATAGGGTAGAGAAGAGGCTAGCTGGCTAGAAAAGGAATTATATTTCTTTGGGGGGAGATAACGTTGATCAAGTCTACTTTAGGTAATCTCCCAGTTTATTTCATGTCAGTGTTTAAGATGCCTCAAGCAGTGGTGAAAAAAATTGAGAAGCTCATGAGGGATTTTCTTTGGGAGTTTTGGGAGGTAAGAAGGATCGCTGGATCAGATGGGATATAGTGGTTAGAAGGAAGGAAGAAGAGGGTGGGTTTGGGAATTGGCAATGTAAGCTTGAAAAATATGACTCTTCTAAGTAAATGGCTATGGTGATTTCCTGTGGAAAATGAGAGAATGTGGCACAAAGTGGTGGCTAGTATTCATGGGCTTTCAAGAAATAGTTTGCATGCCGGTTGCCTACACAGAGCTACTCTTGCTGCACCTTGGAAAGCTATACATGATATCCTTTCCACCTTCCTTTGTCATGTAAGGTATGATTTTGCTTCTGGTTCTAAAATTAAGATTTTCGGAAGATGTTTGGGTAGGGGAAGCCCCTCTTAAAGATGGCTTCCCTTCCTGTAGAGAACACTATGGTCCCCACTGTTCTCTACACTTCCCTCTTTGCCCTTTCCTCTTTTAAAGAAATACCTGTTGCGGACTTCCTATTTTTTTTGGTATTTTGGTGCCATGCACCACTAATAACCCCCCTTTTCTCCCAAATTGGTGGTTGCGGACTTCCTTCTTCCCCCTCTTTCTTCTTCTAGGTTGAATTAGAACTTGGGCCTTCCTAAAAACCTTAAGAGATTCTGAGGTTCCTCTAGGTTCTAGTTTGTTAAGCATTCTGGGATCAGTCTTCTTTGATTTTGAGTGAAGAGATAATTGTGTGTGGTCCCTTACCCTGGGTGGTTCCTTCTATAAATCCTCTTTTAAATCCCTTGCCTCTTCTTCCTCTCCCCCTCCTTTCCTGTTAAGGAAATTTGAAATCATAACTCTATGAGTAGCATATTGGGTCAAAACTTTGACAATGTTCAAGGACTTTAAGTTGGAGAGATGTTTTCAGGAATTGGGGGGCCATAGCTGTCTCTTCCCCTGGAAAGCAGAAAATTTTGGAGGTTTGGTCCCCCCTGGGAGGGGATGGTTAAAATTGAATTTTGGTGGCAGCAGTATGGGTAACCTGGGGTCCTCTGGCATTGGAGTGGTAATCACTAATCAGGGATGGAAATGGTGCTCTTCGGGCCTTGTTCTCTGGCCCAATTGAACAAAGATGCTTGGTAAAAGCAGAATTTCTCGCAGCAGTTTTTGGAGTGGAAAAAGCAAAAGAAATTGGCATTGATAGACTGATTGTTGGAGGTAACTCTAAGATTGTAGTGGGATGGCTGACGAAAGGTGAAGGGGTGATTTGTTAGCCCAAAAATGATTTCAGGCACTTCAAATGGATCTCAAAAGACTTGAATATCCAATTTAGATGGATTAGGAGATCTACAAATAGCTTGGTTGACAGTTTAGCTAAACAAGGGGTTCAAAGAAACAATTTGTACATTTGTAGGTTTTTTTGGGGGGGGCTAGTCCTGTTTTGGACTGTCCTTTCACAACTCCTTGTTGTAATCTGTTCCTTGTTCTTCTATTAATAAAATTCTTCTTTGTGTTGCTGATAAAAAAAAAATGATGAAGCTGGAGTGAAATCAGTAGAAGAAGAGAACAGAGAAAGAATGAAGGGAGAAAAGAAAGTTTGGGGACAAACTCACTAGGGCAGTAAGAATATCCCCATCTTTTATTATTTAAGTGGTGAGCAAAATTACAAAAACACCTTGCTGCCTACTAGAGTATGTACAATATAAAAAATAAGTAATGGCATGCCGACATATAAGAAAAGCCAAATAAGAATGAAATAAACTTCTGGAACTGTTATTTACCTTTTTATTTCCAGCAAGGGATATACATAGCAATGGGAGGCAAGGTTCAAAGTGTCGACATGTTTGATACTGAAATTTCAAGTTTGAGTGTATCAAAGTCTTAGTACTTTTTTTTTATATATATTTCTATTGACAGTCTATTCCAATAATAGATACTGCCTAATGATATTAACCTTCAGCATATATACTTCCCTTAATTCCCAGTATTTGGCATATCTGTCCCCCCAAATACTGATACATATTGTATGATATGGCAGTAAATATTGATACTTTGAACCATGGCAGGAGGCATAACATTCTCTATGATTTGGTTATTTCCTCCCATCTTTCTCTTCTTTTTTGTTCTTCATTCATTCTTTATCTTTCTGTTCTATAATTCTGCTATTTTTCTTTCTAATTTTTCTGCATTACAACTCAAGTATATGTACATGTCCATTCATATACACATGCCTATATACATATGTTAATGTTTTATTGGTAAGCTATCATGTATTCTTCCGAGTTATAATTATACTTGGTATTGGTCCTTAAGTTTTATGTTGTTCTTACATTTGTTTGAAAACTAGACCTTTCAGGTTGCCTGCTATTCTTGTTGGTGATGGACGATTAGGAGGAATTTCTGGAACTATTTCGGCCTATGAGAGCTTAAAACTACGTGGTTATGATATTGTTGCTGTTATTTTTGACGATCATGGTCTAATAAATGAGGTTCCCTTGTTGTCTTATCTCCGGCACAGGTACTTGACTATGTCAATTGATTCAGTTCTTCTCCTGGGTTAAACTTTTGCATGTATAATGTTCCATTTTTCTTCTTTTTGAGCATTACTTTACATGTATGATACTTTTGAAGATGCTTTTATGTGTTATCTGTATTATTTGTCTCCCTCCCCACCCAAGGGAATTTATGTTGTACTTTCTATATCTAGCCCTGGTTTTCTGTGCGTCTCTTGTGATATCTTTTCATTTTTCTTCTTCTTTTAGGGTACCAGTACTTGTTCTTCCACCTGTTCCACAAGATCAATCAGACAACCTTATGGAATGGTTTGATGAATCTCAGAGCATTTTTGGTTCTCTTAAAGAGATGATGCTTTCTGCTTATTTGGAAAGATTGCAGAGATTGCAGAACATGCCAAAAAAGGCAAGAGATAATTTTTGGTGGCCATTTACACAGCATAAACTTGTTCCTGAAGAAATTGTCACAGTTATAGATTCACGTTGTGGTGAGAACTTTGCAGTCCATAAGGTTTGTATGAAGCTATTTTACTTCATTTGTTAGAAAATTTTAATCTGATTTGTTAAGTGGTTTATGTTTTGCTTTTGTATTTCTTATTTGAACTTGAGGGTATATTTCTGTGGACAAGTTTATGGTTGGTGAATGGAAGTTTGCTCAGTCATGAAGCATTTCCTTATCTCATAGTTAATGTTCCCAGAACATGGCTGTAGTTCCTTTGTTTGTAAATTAAAAAGCCTTTAATTATTTATTTTTTTCAATGTAGGTTCAGAATGCTGATATTATTACTCAACAATTTGATGCTTGTGCTAGTTGGTGGACTCAAGGACCTGATACTACCCTACAGGTCGCTGATATGCAAATTTTCTGTACTGCATTCTTGTAGTAGTTTTGTTTTTGCTGGTGAAAGAAAAATTTTATTAAAAAAAGGAAATAATATACAGCCACCAATAGGGTGCAGAGGGTGTATCAGCAGTACAAAAAAAGAATCAAAATACCAGCCCCAAAAGACGACACCTACATACCTGATTCCCATTCCCCTTTGGACAAACAGAAAAATACTTATAAAATTCACTACTTGGGACAACAGAAAGCAGACACAAACTTCCCCCAAAACATAGTTGTTTACCCAGGCCCTACTCAACTTCAGTTTCACGACTCCCCGTCAAGAAACACCTCCTGTCCACCCTCCTCATTCAAATTTCGCCTCCTTCAGTAATGGGTTTCTTCAAATTTTCTTCCCTTCTGTTCCTCTCAACTCTTCAAAAACTCTTCTAACCAAAGCCTCTCCTTCTAACAAAAATAAGCCTAGTGATTTGCCCACCTTAACCTCCCTATCTATCAAATTCTCTATCTCCATACTCCCTTGCTTCATCCCCTGCCCCTCTGAAGGCGCCTCACAAGATCTTTCTTCAACTTCACTACCACCCTCCCTAATCTTCTCCTCTGAAACTCCACTTGACACCACCTCCCCTGCAGGTGCATTCACCGCCTGCTTATTCTTACCACTGCAATCTAGCTGTCCAACCTCCTCTTCGGTCTGAGCCCCAAGCCCCATGTCTAGAAACTTTTTGTTTTGCTCCCCTTCCTATATGCACTCTTTTGTACTTGTTAGTTAGTGCCCACACCAACTAGACCATCTTTTAGCCGCGAGAAAACCTTAGTAACATCCATGGTGCGCGATTTAGTCGAGCTCCTATGAGTCTTTGCAGCGCAGGATAATTGGTGCTTTTTTGTTTTCTTTGAACCTAGCGGCTGATAGGGGCTCGAATAAAGAGACAATAGGTTTTGCACCCTCATCCACTTTTCGAGACTTGGACCCACCTATTGTAATAAGAAAGGGTAAAAGAAAATGTACAACCCATTGTATCTTTAAACACCTTTCTTATATCCTTTTTTAACCATCCTATTATTCCTTTCTAACCTTTGTTTCTTTGTAGCCTATACTTAAATCCATTTCAAAAGCATTAGCCAAACTAGAATGGAGGGGTGCTATGAAAACTGAAATAGAAGCATTACATAAGAATGACACCTAGGATATTGTTGAGTTGCTTGAGGGGAAGGAACCGGTTATATGTAAGTAGGTTTATACTTTCAAATATCATGCCGATGGTTCTATTGAAACGGTTTATGGCTAGTTTGGTGGCAAAGGGATACACACAAATGTTTGGAGTGGACTACTTCGGTATGGGTTCTCTTCTCCTTAGTAGCATGCTTTGATTGTGCTCTCTATTAGTTTGATGTGAAGAATACCTTCTTGAATGGGGATCTTCATGAAGAAGTGTATATGTGTCTTCTTCTTGGATGTATGGGAAGGAGATGCAAGAGAAGGTATGCAAATTAAAGAAGTCCCTTTATGGTTTTAAGTATTCTTCTTGGGCATGGTTTAAGAGGTTCCGGAATGTATTAATTCAGTTTGGTTATACTCAGACTTAGTTAGGTCATACCCTCTTTGTTAAGAGGAGAGACACTTTGGTGACATTCCTTATTGTTTATCTGGATGACATTGTAGTCACTGACAGTGATATCGAGGAAGTGAGCAGACTCAAGGGCTTCCTCAATATGAAGTTTGAAAATAAGGACTTAGGTGAATTGAGATATTTCTTGGGAATTAAGGTTTCTTGGTCCAAGGAAGGCATCTTCATTTCCTAATGCAAGATGTTCTTGACCTTCTCACTAGAGAATTTGGTGCTAAACCTATATCTACCCCTATTGATTCAAATCATATGTTTGCCACTGATGATGAATTGCTAGTCGATAGGGGAGTGTTTTAGAGTTAGTTTATGCATTCTCCTTGGGATACACATGGTTGTTGCCAAACATGGTCACTTGAAAATAGAAGTCTACATAAATGTAGATTGGGATGAGAACATTGTTTCTTGAAGGAGTAAGAAGCAGTTTATAGTGGCTAGACCTTTTTCTGAAGCAGAATATAGGGCTATGGCCCATGGAGTTTTAGAATTATTGTGGATTAGGTCTCTCCTACAAGAATTGGGCATTGATTATGATAAACCTATGATGTATTGTGATAATGAAGTGGTCATCAACATTATTCATAATCCATTTCAACATGATAAGGCAAAGTGTATTGAGGTGGATACACACTTTACACGGGAGAGAGTTGATTTAGGAGAAGTATGCATTGCCTTTTATTGCATTTGAGGAACAACTAGTAGATGCCTTAACCAAAGGAGTATCAAAGGCAAAGCTGCAGCATGGTATTAGCAAACCGGGCATGATTGACATCTATGCTCAGCTCGAGAGGGAGTGTAGAAAGATTGGGCGGGGTGGGCCTTAATTTGCCTTTTTTTATTGTTTTATCTTTAAATTGTCTTCTCTTATATTGGGCCTTAGGTATATGGGAGACCTTTTATTTCTTTTTATTGCTTATCAAGTCAGCTGCCCATTGGGGGCATTCATGAAATTCCATCTTCAATTAGTATTCAGCATTAATAAAAGAAATTAAACTGATTCCTCTGATTCATCCTGGTCACCGGGCAATCTCCAAGATCAAAAAACACCTTGGGCAGCAACTGAACTCTCCAATTATCTCCAAGAATCAAGCTACAAGAGATGTAAACTCCAGCCCTAGGAAAGTCTCATGCAGCTGGCTGGATCAAGTCCACATGGGAATGCTACTTGATCATAAACCTGCTCTGATACCAACTTTGCTGAAACAGCTCATAATCAAACTAGGTTTTACAGAGAAATCAGCAAAGAAAAAGAAGGAAAAGAAGGAAGAGCAGTAGAGAAGAAGAAGAGAGGTCACAGAGAGAAACAAATAAAAGGGGTGCAGAATCTTGTGGTTCTACCAGCCTACTAATTGCTATTTATATGTGAGCAAAATAAAAAAATATTACAGCGACTATAATAATACCCCTTCCACCTATAAGTGAAAGAAAAAACAATAACAGTAACAGCAATTCAGCAATCAGCAATAAGAAATCTTTTCTATTTCATATTCTCCAGGTGGAAGTACTCGGAGTTTTTCTTTACAATTTGCTTTAATTAGGTGGTTTCAGATTGAGCTTGCAAGAGATATGGGTTACGCTGCTGCAAGATTTGGACATGTGATGTTTCCTGAGAATGTTTATGAACCGGCCTTACTATGTGCAGAACTTTTGCTTGAAGGTGTGGGGAAAGGTTAGTTATTTCAAATTTTCTTTGCATTCTCAATTTCTACCACTTATTTTGTCAAACTGAAATGTGTGATCATTACTTCTTTGTGATTGACTTCACATCTCATTTTACCTCAAGTAGTTTGTACAGAAAAGACAGTGATATCATTAGATGTTTATGATGCAGGTTGGGCTTCTCGAGCTTTCTTTTCTGACAATGGATCAACAGCAATTGAAATTGCTCTAAAGATGGCATTCCGCAAATTCTCACATGATCATGGGATCCTTCTGGACTCTGTTACAGGAAATTTGGTTGAAAGATCTCTTGTGTTCAAGGTAGGTCTTATTCATTGGAGGCTATATTACATTTAGAACAGAATAATTTGAACCCATGGATCCGATTCTTGTAATGAAAGCCTCAGAAGTAAGATTTTGGTGCACATTTGCTATTAAAAGTTTACATCACTGAAGAATTTCTACATGCAAAGAAAAGTAGCATCTAGGCATTTTGTAAATCATATTAATATTGTCATTTCTAAATACATTAACTTTATGATAACAATGCGATTTATGCACAATTTGATGCATAGTTTAATGTATTACATGTGTTTGAATTGATATATTGTATGAAGGCAATGTTGCAAACTTCAGTTTTGGTTTAAACTTTGTTCGATGGAAATGCAATTCATTTGTGGAATTTTATGGAAGCCCACAAAAAACACTGGAAAATCTATGGAAGTTAAGGAATATTATTTATTTTGAAGAGTAAAGAAAAAATTTATTAAATAAAAAGAAAGATACTACTTTAGTAGGTGTTAAGGTAACACCCGAACAACTGAAGCTATGAAAACATGTTTTCATTGCAGGCTGGGATCTCAAGAACACCCCAGAAATTTTCTTCTAGATCTGCACTATTAAATTGCTCAAACTCTGGTAGAATCGAGACCCAGCTTGAAACAAGCTTTCCTACTGAGGCACCACAGCTTCAATGCCTTTGGACTTGTCTTCGAATAGCCATTTGTTTCTTTCCTTCCATAACGTCTAGTATATTGCAAAAGGGATGCAGCTCCATAAAATTTTTGTTTTCCTGCTTCCTTTAAACCAATGTTTTAAAATGCGGACGCTTTTATATGTTTGAAAATGTTTTAAAATGGAACAAGCTCTTACATACTTCAAAATGTTTTATATGTTTGATTTTATTTTTAAATTCTCATTTGAATACGCTTTACATGTTGTGTTTATGTATTTTAATTTTAGGTAATAGGCTTTTTAAAACATTTATTTTAAAATTTAAGTTCATATTTTTTAGTAATATATGTTCAATACTTTTTGATCTTTTTGAATTTTTTGAATTTCTGACATTTTTTTTTATGTTTTAATTTTTTTTTTGTATTTTTGCGGTTTGCTTCTAAAAGGCGTGCACCTCACCTTGCGCCTTGCTTCAAAAAGGCACTCACCTTGCCTAGGTGCACTAAGAGTGCTTTTTATTTTGGTTGGTAGTCTTTATAAAGGCCTTGTTTGCACGTTTTTCTGCGTGGGCAGTTGTCTGTTTAGAAGCCCGGAAGCCCGCGTTTTCGTCTTTTCCTGTTTGGTTGGGGGAAGATCTAGCCGCTGAAAGACTGCGCCCCAAAAAGACACAAAGATCTTGATTCGAGCTTATTTCAGGAAGCTAGAAGTGGAGCTTCTCACATTTTTTCATCTCATCTTTGTGCGGAAAGATGCGCCTCCAACCAAACGGTCCATGGGCTGCCAAGATCTTTATGTAAAAGCTCATTTATGTCTTTTGGCTGTCAGATCTTCCAGAAGATCTTTCAAAAAAGACTTGTCAAACGACACCAAAATCATTTGAAGGTCCTTTCAGTTAGGCTAAAGCCCCAAATGAATGCATTTAGGATATGAATGCAATTGGGCTTGAGGTGCAAGGTGCAAACCTAGGGAGGCATGCCAAAGGCGTTGATGCCTCTTGAGGTTGAGGTGTATGCCTCAAATGCCTTTTGCATGAGGTGTATGTACTATAGGTATATGCCTCATGCACCTTATGCATGGTTCATATGGAAAGAAAGAAAGAAAGAAAGAAAGAAGAAAAAGAAGAAAGAAAGAAAGAAAGGAACGAGAAGGGAAGGGAAGGTAAGGAAAGGAAATGAAAAAGAAAGAAAAGGAAAGGGAAGGGAAGGGAAGGGAAGAGAAGGGAAAGAAAATCAGGGCTAGGAACACTGCATTTCAGCTAGTGTTATATATCTCATTCTTCTTAATAAAGGGCTTCTTTCATCATAAAAACAAGAAAAAAAGATGTAATTATGAAGTCAGGGCTAGGAACACTGCGTTTCAGCTGTTGTGATTATGAAATTTACCATGTATCTTCATGTCAATCAAATGTCAACAATTTAGTAATGGAGGTTATGCTGATTGTTATTTTCTTTGATTCAGGTTCTTGCTCTCAGTGGTTCTTACCATGGTGATACTTTGGGTGCTATGGAAGCACAGGCACCATCTTCATATACGGGTTTCCTTCAGCAACCATGGTATGAATTCATAGTTAATTTGGTACTTCGAATCCTTTTTAATGGTTGATTATTGAAAATTCTATCCTTTTGGTTTAAGTTCTAGTTTTTTTTAACCGTTTGATTGGTAACTGTTGTAAGAATGGGGCCTTGCCAAAGGCTATAGCCAGTAAACCGTGTGGATTCCATAATTTCACAGCAACAAACCTGCAAGTTCAATAAGCTATTTTGTGAATTTTGGGATCAAACCGATAAGAATCTGACAACATTTTTGGTTACCTTAGATAAATTGAAATACAATAGGATGAAAGAGTTATTAACACGTGTGATTGCGGGAAGGGAATGCTGTGACTGCAAAGAAAGGACATATGATATAGCGTGGAAAAGGGGATTTGACATGAAAACTTAGAGTGTGTGATCCCATAAATATTAATAATGGGGAAAAGACAAAAACCAATAAAGTAAAGATATGCAAGGGAGCACTACTTGTTCTCTTTGTCCACTTTTGGATGGAAGCTTTTCAGTTTGTAGTCTGAGGGGAGATTCTTGGGGTCTTCCTACTTACCATTCCAACTTTCAAACATAGACAGCCCAGCTCAGCCTGTTGTCTCACATCAAGAATCTCTGGTTCATTTTTTTATCTTCAAGAACAGTAGCAATGGTACGACAGTGGACTCAAGTAGCAGATGAACTGGTGGCGGAAGAACAATTGGCTAAGTACTTGTCTCACTTTACAGAAGTAGTCCAAGAAGGTGGTGGAGAATATGCTGATCTTGAAAATCTGGTCCACAAGGTGTCTGGATTAATGGATCAGCAAGATCGAGCTGAAGAAAAGCTAGATTTAATTCAACAACCAAAAGAGATGATGATATACTTTGACAACTGCAACAGGGGTAGTGTGTGGCAGTATCTCCTCCAATCTAGCCAGATTCAATCATCATGGAGTCGGCAAATTCTCAATTTAGCCAAACTTGTAGCGGTGGTCAATGGAACCCCGCCTCAGCCTTAGAACATCAGTTTTCCTTCACTAGCACAAAACCAAATCCAGCTGGAGGTATCTTATTGGTTATTGGTGGAAATTTTGGCAAATTGAGAGAGCAAGTTTATACTAGAAACCCTATTCAGTAACTATAGCACAAAAACCTTGCCCACAAGGGTACACAATGCCTCAGCAATGGTACTTGTATGATGGTCAGAGTGGCAGTGCGAGAGAGCATATCATCCAATTTGAAGATGTGTTAGGTTCCTATGCTTCCGAAAGAGATCTCTGAGAGTTTTGAAAGACCTTGACAGTATGATCCTATACCTGGTTCATGAATCTGGCCCTGAGGAGCATTAGATCCAGGGAAAAATTATTGGAGAAGTTCTTAAGCACATCATGTAGTGAAGGATGACAATGGAAGTTCTCCATGTTGCTTCTCAAAAACTGCAGATGATCTTGTAGAGTATGTCTTGAAATTTAAGCGGGCCATACAACATGTGTATGATGAATATGTCAAAGAAAAGGACTTTGTGGATGAATGTTTTCAAGGTATGCATCCAAGATGTAGATCAGTGTTGGAGAACCTAGAGATTCAAGATTTCACTAGACTGGGAATGCACAAAAAGGACAAGTCCATCAGGTGACCGGACTTGGACAGGTAGTGGCAAGGGGGTTCACCATCAGTTGCAAACAACAAGGAAAAAGAAGTGCATCACCCCTCCCACCTAGTGAAAGATTGAGCGACCACCACCACTGCATGTGTCTAACCCAAAACAAGACAGAAACAGACCTCATTGCTGTGAATATCATCAGGCTTCATTGTCTCCAGGAGGAGTAAAAAACAGTCTTTTTTATTTATTTCAGCATATATAAAGTGATTAGGGATAGAGAGAGATATGATTCAGCTCTCTTCTCCTCCCCTTTTCTTCCACTTTCTTCTTCTTTCTCCTGAACAGCTTCTTCTTCCTTCTTTCTTTATTTTTTCTTGTTTTACAATCAAGATATTGTTGGACTGGTTTTCTTTTGTTAAGAAATGTGGGAAGAATGGTAATGATGGATTTCCAAGGTAAAGCAAGAGACATATTAGGTGAGACTTTATTGGGTAAATGGCTTTGAAGATTGTCTTTAGAAGAGTGCAGGTTATGACATAAGGTTATAGTGAGCATTCATGGACTTGTAGGAACAGATTTCCCTTTGGAACATGGCTATGTGCCTCTATCTTAATTTTTATGTTGGAAGATTCGATGTTTTTGTTTATTTTTAATGATCGGCAGGGTTCAATATTTTATTATATTTTTATTGATTCAATTGGTGTTTTAAAAGGCATGGGAGGCATACGCCTGGAGGCGTGCCTCCAGGCGAGGCACTCCCAAAACGCCCTAAGGCGTATGCCAGAGGCGTTGACACCTCTGAGGCGTACGCCTCAGGTGCAAGAGGCATACGCCTCATGCAAAGAAAAAAGAAAAAAAAGGGAAGGAAAGGAAAGGAAAAGAAAAGAAAGGGAAGGGAAGGAAAAAGAAAGAGAAGAAAAAAAAGAGAAAAGGAAAGAAAAGGAAAGGGAAGAGAAGAAAAGATAAGGGGAAAGAAAGTGGTTTGCTCCCTGCCCCTTTGTCATGCCTCTAGGTAGTGGGACGCCTTGCACGCCTCCACATTTCAAAACATTGGATTCAATGTTTTATTACATTGTGTTTGGGATTACTGGTAGCCTTGGGTTCTTCTTTCTGATGCTTCTGCTTTATGTCCACTTCTTTATGGTCATAAAATCACTTTATCCATGATATCCTAGTGTACTGAAGTGCTGTTCAACCTTTTATAAATTATCCCTATGTTTTATTTTTATTTCATTAGGGTTTAAAACTCGGATCCTTGTTATGCATTTGACAGATAGATGGTAAGAAGGAAATGATTCAAAACATGCACTGCATTTTCTTTTTTAAATTTCATTCTCTTTTTAGGTATACAGGGAGGGGCCTTTTTCTAGATCCTCCTACAGTGTTTATCTGCAATGGGAGTTGGAATATTTCCCTACCTGAAGTGCTACAATCTAAAAGTCTGAAGCTTGAAAATATGAGTAAGTGAAGCACGTTCTCCTTGGCTTGTTGCTCTCATTTTTAACTTCTCTTTGGCTTGTCCTCTTCTGTGTTATCTGAAGCTGGCATTTTCTGCAGTCTTCAATTCATGTGAGGAACTCTTCAATGGGAGCAGGGAAAGTTCTGATCTCGCAAGGAGCTATTCAACATATATAACACAGCAACTGTGCCTATTTTTGGGATCGGAAGATCATATTGGAGCCTTGATTATAGAGCCAGGCAAGATGGTGCATTTTTTTTTTTTTCGCTGCTCATCATATTACATTTTTTCCATGACATTAGGAAATAAAAGCCTGTATTTTTATTGCCTTACAGAATTAAATTAATTTTTATCTAGGTTTTCTTTGTTCATTCTATACTGGACTTGGGCATGTATGAATATGAAATCTGTTTATAGCATCAAGAAGATGCACTTGTGCCATGTAGTGCAAGTGGGGATGGGGAGAAGACAGTTGAGAACCATTGTTTACTTCTTCTCATGACATTTTATTATACATAGGTTAAGTCACTTGGCTAATCACAATCACCAACTTATTACTGTATTTGACTGTAGTAATGGAAGAAAATGAACAGACTACACCTTGACTTGCAAGAATGCACTCCACAATTTGGAAGACCCCCCCCCCAAAAGGGGAAGAAAGTGAGTGAAATATAAGTATTGATAGCATCAGGTTTACTTTTGGCACGGGTTACCTTGTTTGCACTGAAAAGAAGCATTTTGATTGCACTAGCTGAGCAATAGTTCCTTCTTCCTATGACCTTATGCATATGCAACTTACAACTTATTGTTATTGCTATTTGACTGTCGGGTAATTAAAGAAAATGAAAAGACTGCACCTTTACTCGCATGAACACACCTTACAACTTGTAGCATCAGGTTGACTATTGGCATGGGTTATCTTGTTTACACTGGAAAAAAGCATGTTGATTACACTAACTGAGCAATCACCCCACTTCTTACAATCCTATGCATTTGCAACCTGTATGCACTCACAATCATGAACCAATTATTCACATCTAGATTGATAATTTGAGAGCTTGCTATACTGTGATTTATCCAGCTGTTAAGTCTATTTATTTATTTATTGTCAGTCATACATGCTGCTGGTGGAATGCATATGGTTGATCCACTTTTTCAGCGAATGCTTGTCAAAGAGTGTCGAAATCGGAAAATTCCTGTCATCTTTGATGAAGTTTTTACAGGTTTTTGGCGTCTTGGTGCTGAGGTGAGCTGCTGATATATGCTGTTACTTATGATTGCTATTCTTTCTTATTATATATTCTCTTGATTCACTGGGGTTATAGTTGTATAATTAATGGGCTTGGATTTTCATTCTCTAGTCTGCAGCAGAACTACTTGGTTGTACACCAGATATAGCCTGCTATGCAAAGCTTATGACTGGTGGGGTTATACCCTTGGCTGCCACCTTGGCGACAGAAGCTATCTTTGATGCATTTAAAGGAGATTCCAAGGTATATCCTTTTTTTGTCTTTGGCATTAGTATGACAATAACGGATCTGTTAGTATCTTTGATAGGTCATCCATCAAGTTTCAAGTGGATTTAAATTTTTGTAATCATCAGACTGCCAAATAGCTCATCTTAGGGCAGTTTCTTTGTCATGTACCAGTGTTTTAGAAGGCATGGGAGCCATACACCTGGAGAGTTTCCCCCAAAATGCGCTCAGGCATATGCCAGAGGTGTTGATACCTCTGAAGTGTATATTCAGGTGCAAGAGGCTTTGCCTCACATGCCTTTTGCATGAGGCATGGTACCGGAAGAGTTTTGACCAATTAAAGCACCCCCATGAATTTTGATGAATACCTCTGATTGGTCATCTCTTTTGATACCAGTTGATTGGCTATATGTTTTTCCACATTATGTCTTTCCGGTATCATAGTCAAACTCAAGAAAGTAGAGGAAAAGAAAGGGAAGGGAAAGAGAGAACTAAAGAAAAAGAAGAAAAAAAGAGAAAAGAGAAGGAAGGGATGGCTTACGCCTCCTCCTTCCTCCTCATCCCCTCCTCTTAAGCATCTTTGCGCTCGGGAGGTCTATACCTCTTACATTTTGAACAATGCCTCATGCCTTCAAGTGGTGGAATGCCTCGGCCTCCACATTTTAAAACATTGGTATGTACTTGCTTTTGGTAATATTGCTATATTATCTGATATTTCAGTTTCTAAAAAAAGTTTCTGATCATCATCATCATCATCGTCCAAGTCATCATCATTATCATCCCAAATTTTGGTAATATTGTTATATTCATCTACTTGCTTAATGAATCCTATTTTTCCATTGCATTTTGTTTAAATCCTATCCATTGTTAAATTATTTGTGCTTAAACCACTTTTTACTACTTCTACCCACATCCTTTTTGGTCTAGCCCTAGCCCTTTTAGCCCCTTCAATTTGCAACAAATCACTACCTACGAGTGTTGTTGATGGTCTTCTAAATGTGACCAAACCATCTAAGTCTACATTCTCTCATTTTATCACTTATTGTAGAGAATGCCTACCAATGAGGGGTAATTTGGTCCTCCCAAACAAATAACGACACATGGCCATTATCGACAACGTAGTGCTAAGTCAACAGGTTAGCTTGGAGCACCTCGCATAGACCGACCTCGACCTCGGCAAGGGCGAGCTAGCAGAGCCCTAAGGTTGTTGGCAACCTCACCAAGGAGTCAGTTGAGCTGAGGCGACCCACGAAGGTGAGCTCGTCTAACTGCACCCACACCCCGTTACCGAGGGTGCACCAATATCATGACCATTGGAGTAGCTCATCGTATCGTGCGCCACAATCTAAGCGAACGAACTATAACCGCTGCACAGATCTTGTAACTGACACATTAATACGCCTTGTATTGTGGAAACATCTCCGCTAGTAGCTCAGGAACGTTGCCAAAGCATCCTGAGCCCCTGATGACTATAAAAGGAGCCCATAATTCACTTGGGGAGGTACGCGCACTTATACTCTCAAGCTCTCTCACACTCTCAGAGAAATTCCCATTCACCTACTGACTTAAGCATCGAAGTGCCCTCTCCGGGTAAAAACTACCCGGGCACTCATCTTTCTTCCCTTGCAGCTTGCTTTAGCTCGGACATCCAGACATCAGCTCGGCCACATAGCTTGGCCACATAGCTCGGCATAGCCAGATTGACATCTAGTCAGAGTCTGAATCACGGTACACAAGGGAGCGTCCGGATTGCGTGACATCAATTGGCGCCGTTTGTGGGATCCACAACAAAAAGCAAAGTTCCCTTTTCTTACTTTCAGAAATTCAGCAATGGCATCCTCGAGCAATCCCCCTACCCACGACAACAACATCAATGGCCAAATCCCTACTGTTATCATTGGTCAGATTAATGTTCCCTTACACCCAACTGGGCGACTGGACAATGTGAACGCGCCTCACTCTACGGTTGAGCCCACAACAGCTCCCGTAGTGGTTGATGTGCACCAGTTCAACGATATAGTACGGTGCGTGCAAGGGATGACTGAGCAACTACAATCTTGGGAGAATAGGTTTGCCTTTATAGCAGGGGGCAACAACAACAACAACGATTTCCGCAGGTACCCCTTCAACAAGTACCTCAGAACAGTCAACAAGCACCTCGGAACAGTCAACAAGTGCCTCGGAACAGTCAGCAAGTACCTCGGGACAGTCAGCAAGTACCTCTTCAGTAGGTACTTATACAGAATGCTGGTTTGAACCAGACCGACCAGGAAGATCCGATCCCTCCGCGAGTTCGCAGCCAGATTCAAGTCCCCAATAGAGATGACAACCAAAACCGCTTTGATGACGCAGCCCATGATAATCAGCTCTCGGTGGAAAGCCGAGATGAGGTTCCCACCGGGATTGACGCCGCCAGTTTGACTGAAGGTGTTGAGAAGAGACACAAGAGGCGAACACACCGCACTAGGAAGAAAAGCCAGCTTGCCTTGGTAGGATGTGAAGTCCAGAAGGGAGGAGACAATGTAGCCATCCGTAGGATGGTTTGCCTCTCCGAACCACCTCGCCTAACTCGGGAAACTCTGTTGGCCCCTGAAATCCTTGAGGCCCCAAGGCCGAAGAACCTCAGGGCACCGACCCTTGAATCTTACAAAGGCAAGACAGATCCGGTCGAACACGCCAATAGCTTCTAGGCTCTCATGCTACTCCATGGAGAAAACGACGTAAGTATGTGCATAGCTTTTCTGACAACCTTAAAGGAAGAAGCTTGGCTCTGGTACTCCAGACTAGCCCCCAGTTCCATCAAGAACTAGGACCAGTTCGCCCAACTGTTCATCAATCAGTTCGCCACAAGCAAGAGGCACTCCAAGTCGGCGACCTGTTTACTGAATGTGATCCAAAAACCGAATGAGACGCTAAGGGACTATATTAGAAGAATTAACATGGAGCGCCTTTAGATCCCGGACTTGGAGCCCACCGTACAACTTATTGCAGCTAAGAATGGGGTACAACACCCCGAACTAAAGTGGTAGATTGAATTGCGCCCTCTAGCCACCATGGAAGAAGTTCTCGACATAGCACACCAGTTCATGAAAGCCGAGGAGGCAGTGGGTTCGAAGTCCGACCTGTTTGGAAAAAGAAAGTGAGCAGAGGAAGAAGTGAGTAGCAGTAAGACCAAGCGAAGAAGTCAATCCCCTAAGAGGAGCAAATCGCCGAAAGGCAGGCGTAGTAGCTCGCCGTGCAGGAGGAGCAAGTCACCAGCCAGAGGTTCAAACAAGCGGTCAACGACACCACCTGTGTACACCTGGACCTTCACCCCCCTGAACACTAAAAGGAAGGAGATTTTAATGCAGATCAAGTCAAATGGTTATGTGAAATGGCCACCCAAGATGAGGGGGGACCCTACTACTAGGAACCCAATTGTCACTTTTACAAGGATGTGGGTCACGATACGGAGCATTGCTAGAACCTGAAGAATGAGATAGAAGATCTCATTAAGAGAGGATACCTGAGACAATTCATCAAAGACGAGCGGCGACCTGAGGAAGGGACAAGTAGAGAAGAACCTTAGGCCAACAGGGAGTAGGAGCCAGCTCCCCGAAATCAGTAGCAACTAGAAACACAGGTTCGAGGGACCATAAACATGACTACTAGAGGTTCGATTATCGCTCTCTGCACTACTTCAGCAAGCAAGAATTCGGTCAGGGAGCTGGAACAGGAAGACAGTAACCCATCGAAGCGACCCCGAGAAGAAGTGATCTATTTCACTGAAGATGACATGCATGGGATCCTGGGATCCAGTACCCACATGATGATGCTCTAGTAGTCAAACTGCTGATCAACGATTTCAAGGTAAAGGGAATCCTGGTTGGCTCCGGCAGCTCGACTGACATTTTATTTTTGGAAGCTTTCAAGCGTATGGAGCTTGGTAAGACAGATTTACAGCCTATTGATGTCCCACTAGTAGGTTTCAGCGGTGAGGTAGTCCGCCCCGTTGGTAAGATAAGAGTGTCGGTCGAGGCGGGCTCGCCTCCTCACACTCTACGTTTCGAACATGACTTTCTAGTAGTTGCCACCTCATCTCCCTATAATGCAATACTGGGGCGACCTATCTTACACACTCTCCGAGTTGTCGTTTCAACGTACCACCTGGCATTAAAATTCCCTATAGAAACTGGAATAGGCGTGCTGCGTGGTGATCAGTTAGAATCACGAAAATGCTACGTAGCAGCCTTAAAAGCAAAAGGCAAGATAGCCACCGACATAGATTTGGAGCCACCTCTAGAGAATATTGAGGAGCGAGCTTGTCCAGCAGAAGAGATTGTTACGGTCCCTGTCTCCAAGACAGAACCTGGAAAAAACACTGCAAATTGGAGCTCGCCTGGCAGAGCCTATGCGCTCTGAACTAGTAAGTTTTCTATTAAATAATTTAGATGTATTTGCCTAGTCGGTTGCAGAAATGCCCGGCATAGACCATGAGCTCATAACTCATAGACTTAATGTTGACCTTACTTTAGACCCGTCCGACAGAGGAAGAGAAACCTCACGCCAGAAAGGTGGCAAATAGTAGATGAAGCGGTGGAAAAGCTGCTAACAGTGGACTTCGTTAAGGAAGTCCAGTACCCGAGCTGGATAGCGAATCCGGTTTTGGTAAAGAAGGCCAATGACAAGTGGTGTATGTGCGTAGATTATACAGACCTGAACTGAGCTTGCCCGAAAGACAGCTTTCCCCTACCCCGCATAGATCGCCTAGTGGACGCGACCTCAGGATATGAGCTCCTGAGCTTTATGGATGCCTATTCCGGCTATAATCAGATCCTGATGGACCCTGAAGACCAATAAAAGACAGGCTTTGTAATTGAGATGGGCCTGTATTGTTATAAGGTCATGTGTTGATTTTTATGGGAAAAGGGAAACTCATGAATTTTTTCATACAAGGAAAGAACCATTAAAAACTTGCTAGAGCTGATACACTTAAGGGTGGCCCATTGGTTGAAATCTTCGAAACTTTTCACAGATAGCTAACTCTGTGAGAAATTGGAAAGAGATAGCTAACTCTGCCCAGATTAAGAGGACTCCCAGCCACTCTTGGACCTCTCCACCCTTTGGATTCATAAAACTGAACTTTGATGGTAGTAGCATAAGGAATCTAGGGCCTTTCGGGATTGGGGGAGTGTTTAGGAATGAGAAAGGTATTATTCTTGCCATGTTTTCAGGCCCAATTGGAGAAGGTGACTCCCTTAGGGCTGAGATTTGTGCAGCTCTAGAAGGAACCCAAAGAGCAACAGAGTTGAACATCAGAAGATTGGTCATTGAAGGTGACTCGGAGGTGGTGGTTAGATGGCTAAAGGAAGACAACAATGGTATGTGGAGCTACAATAATGAAAAGAAAAAATTCAAATGGCTTACTAGGGGCATTGAGATGAAGTACAGTTAGGTGAAGAGAACTGCTAACTCAATTGCTGATGGGTTAGCCAAGCAGGGGGTGAATAGGGATTCTTTGTTTTGGGCTAATTTCTAATTCCCCTTTCATTGTAATGTGCTGGTGGGGAGTTAAGATGCTTTACCTCCCCCATCCCCATCCCTCTTGTAATTATAGTTTCATATCTTTAATAAAGCTTATTGTTATTAATCAAGAACAAACCTTTATGTATTTTTAAGAAAACAATCAGTTGTGATCTGAATCGGTTTGGAACAAGCAAGAACCAGAACTAACCCAATTATTAATTGGGACAAAATCACGGAACCTGAACCGATATAATTGGTTCGGTTTGATAAGGTGGAACCAACTTATTGATAGCCTAGCTTCAGGTGCTCTAACATTAGTTGTTGAACCCTCGTACATGTCCTTAATTTTTTCTATGTAACCATTTGGGACCCTTTCTTTTCTAAGACCCACCATATATCCCTCTATGAATTCTATCTTAAGTTTTTTTCTAGATCAATGAACACCATATGTAGATCTCTCTTTTTATCTCTAAATTCTATCAATTGTCTCGAAAGAATGATAGCTTCCATGGTTGATCTCCCTGGCATAAATCCAAATTGGTTCTCCGCAATACTTGTTTCATGTCATAATTTTTGCTTATTTATGTTAAGGTTTATCCTTTTTTTATGAAGAAGAGTTCTTAAATATATCTTGCATCAAATACCATTTCTAACAAATGCTCTCTTTAAATTCGTACTTTTTTTTTGTTTAAATTATCTTGTGTTTGTAATTAAGTTAGCATTTTCTATTGCTTGATGCTTTTCTTTGATTGAAAAAATAATCAAGGATTTATTGAAAGAGAAGAGCGGAAGAGAACACTATAAATACCGGCAATAAGAAAACAAAAGGAACTGGTGGCCAAGCCTTGGGAGATAACAAATCACCCTTCTCAAAGTTCTTGCATCCAGAGTGAAGCCTTTGAAATTCCTGGGATCAACCGACCCCCCTTCTACCACCCATGATCACTTGAGAGCCACCCCACAACTTTAACGAGTTTGAACATGGAGTACATCAAACTCTGTCCCTGGGTTGCCAAAATCACAGATTGATAGTATTACTGTACTAATACAACTCTGGCCTGAATCCTGATAAATGAAGGATGACCATACTTCCATGATCTCTTGAAATTCCACTGGTTCTAAATGATAATCATATTCCCTAGGGAGCTGCAATTGTTTCAACAGTTCTTTCCAAGTCTGTTGGTGGGGGAGAGGGCCTGCACAGTTATTTAGTGATAGACCAAAAAGCTTGCAATAGAATGCAGTCTCCAGTTGCACCTTTGTTTTGAAAATCAATGTAAAATTGTAAACCATCTAAAGCCCATCCCCTATCATAAATGGGCTGATTTGAGGGTGATAAGATAAAAAAAAAGTCATAATGGAATGAGTTCTATAACAAAGAACATAGTATTCCTTGCCTCCCAAGTATCATATAAAATAGCAAGGGATGTCAAAATGATTTTCCCTCCCTTACTGGATGGTGATAAATAGCCAAATACCTGTTCATGCCCAACTTTTTTGGTGTTAGAAAAACATATTATAATAAAAAAGAAAACTGTATAGCTTTAAAGCATTGACAACTTTTT